GCACCAAAAATCCAAACCCATATATGAAATTTAAACAAAGAGAAGAAAACCCAAATGTGAAGGAGAAAAGCCGAGCTAGCTACCTGAGACGCCATGCATGGAGGTCGAAAGAGGGGGCAGAGAGTGAGAGATTGAGGTGGAAAGGGTGAGGTCGTCATTGCCGATGTGGGGGCGAGTGAAAGAGATAAGAGAGGAGAGAAGGGTTGAGAGAGAGACTGAGAAATTGTGAAAAAGGATTTGGGAGAGCTCAGAACAACTAAACAAAAGTGAAAGAAGGGTAGAAGGAAGAAGAGGAAGAGGAAGAGACCAAAGAAATAAGAGTATTTAAGACAGTAATGACCCAGGAGAAAAAAAAAACATAAGTGAAGGATGGGCAATAAGCTATCAATAGGGAGTTTTTATAAGGGGCATTTGTGATTGGGTTTCAAAATAAGGATATTAGTGAATAAATTAGGTGAGCCAGGGGTAAAGTCGCCAATTTCCCAAAAAATTGATGGGTTAGAAAATTGAAAACAGGGTGCCCGTTTTCTTTAGTCAAAAGGCCCCCTATTTTCCTTTCTTTGGCCTGATTGTCAAAAGGAATAAAGGGTTTATTTTAAAAAATTGAAGTGTAGATAAATAAAGGGTTTATTTGGGTTTCTTTTAGAAGTGGGCTAGAAAAAAAATTGGAGCCTCAAATATTTGGGGGCCCTATGCCGTCGCCCAACCTGTACAAGCTATGAGCAGGATTTGAACACATCATAAGGCCTTTTTTATACCAGTGATAATGCCGGAGGGAGGTGTTCTCCTACACACATTGTCAGCGGTATCATAGTTCGAAATTGGAACAATTAGTCTGTAAATCAGGTCCTTTTCCACTTAACAAGACTCAGGTCCTTTAAATTGAGACAATTAGTCTGTAAGTCAGGTCCTTTTTCACTTAACATGACTCAGGTCCTTTTCCAATGAACAAGACTGTTGACCTTGACCAAATGGCAAGGCCTTTTGTTAAACGCTTCATAACCCTTTGTAAAGTTAATGAGGATTCTCTTTCTTCATTCTATGTGAGATATCACCATATTAAGAGTTAGTTTTTAAAGTTTTGATTGATCAAAATGAACCGTCAGCCTTTTAATTTTGCCAACAATGATCAATAGGATGAGATAACCTTGTGTGTTCTTGTTGGCCCGAACTGATAAATTTCAACTGGTTTGTTCTCTGTTTTTTGTTTTGTGATAATCCCATCTGGTTAGTTGATTGACTGACAAATAGAACCAAAAGCATCTCTATTTGAAGGAGGAACCATTAATAAAACCAACATATATTGAATTAGAATTCCAAATAAGTACCAATGATACAGTAAGCTAAGGTTAATCTGGTCGAGAATTGTCTAATTAATAGATCCAATGTTCATTGATAAAAACCAAAGAACATAGATTTTCTTGTTTTTTTGGTTGATTGGGAAAATTTACATTCAAATAATGTATACAGCTTCTTCAGTCCCAAGAATCTTCAAATCTTGAGGTACTTCACCATGAGCTCCAATTTTTGTCAATAAAGACTCCAACAGCTCAAGTACATAACTTTTCTGAGAGAATACTCAGCTTGATTGATTCTTCTCTTCAGAATTCATTTTGTTCAAAACCATAGCAGCAGAAGATGAAGATGAAGAAGAAGAAGAGAGTTCCTTGGTTTGTAAGAAAGATCTCATATTGTTCTTGGCATGCTGGTGCACAGACCTCATGGTGGTGCAACTCCATCTGCAGAAGCCTTGATCTTTCAAAGCCTCAACAGAAATGTGATCTTTTTGCTCTTGTTTCTGTGCTGATTGAATTAGTTGGGACCCCAGCAGCTCAAGTACATGACTGTCCTCAAAGACTCCTCTGATTTCTTCAGCTTCTCATCTCTGACTTTACTGAAAGCAGCTGAAGCAGAAGGAGATGAGAGCTTGTTGGCCTGAGAAAATGACCTGAGTTGGGTTTTGGCTTGCTGGTGCACAGATCTTAGAGCAGAGTTCCATCTGCATATCCCTTGGTCCTTCAATGCCTCCACAACTCCAACACTTGCTGCCACAATAGCCTTGCTTGCACTTGATGAACTCATCACGATTATGATTTCTTTTCTCTTCCTTACTGACCTCTCTTTGATGCTTTCAACTTCTCAGTTGTGAATGTGAAAGTGAATGTTTGAGTGTATTGATGGAGAAGATGACCTTCAGGTGCTCTTTATATAGGGGATTTCTTTTGAAAAAAGGTGGGCTTGTGGCAAAAAACCAGAGCTGGTTTTGTTTTTCTCCTGGTTCTTTTGGTAAGGTATGTGGATGTTTACACTATTTGGAGATATTACTGTTTTGTACATGCAGATGCAGGGAATATGATGTACTAGGCAGGGGTAAAAGTGGAATTTAAGATTTTGGAGTTTGGATAAGCACAGAGTTTTTGTTGCCTCATGGGCACATGGTTTTTTGTTTAAATTATTGTATTTAGGCCCGCAGTATGGGAGTGAAACCATTTGTTTGCTTGTTTGACTTGGAGTGTGGACCGAGAGACAAAAGCAGAGTCTCTTGTATCTTGTCACTTTATTTTGGTATGTGGGCTAGTAATTGCGTCTGGGAGTGAAACCAGTAGTTTACTCGTTTGTATTACTGAAAATGTGCTCACGTTGGATAGTTAATGAATTGCGTGAAGTTCGACTACTTCCTTCATTACCAATTGATTTTAGAGTGGAACTTCAACTTCCTTCAATAATTACGTGAAGATTACATTATTATATATCACATTGGATAGTTGAGAAATTGGGTGAAGTTGGACGACTATTGCCAATTAATTTTGGAATGGAATCTCAACTTCCTTCAACAATTACTTAAAGTTTACATGTAGGTGGGTGGGCGGGCAAAGGGTCCCCAAAGTGCCCCCCCCCCCCCCCCCCCCCACACACCAAAAAACAAGAATGTTTCCTCTAAATTTCCATCACTCTTGTTGGAGAAGTGATCAAATTAGGGTTCACATGTCGGTTCTTTCGAGGCTTGTTGGCATCAAATAGAGATGCACGAATGACTTCCAATAAATGTCGGTTCTTTCGCTCAACCATCCCATTTTGTTGGGGAGTGTATGGATATGAGCGTTGATGTATGATGTCATGATCCTATAAGAATTTGTTGAGATCATGATTAAGAAATTTGTCACCATTGTCAGAACGGAGAACCTGAATTTGGGCATGAAATTGAGTTGCAACTATTTTATAGAATTGTTGAAATGTTAAACTGACTTCCCCTTTGGTTTTGAGAAGGAACCGCAGGTTATTCGGGCACAATCATCAATGATTGTGACAAACCATCGAGCTCCAGCCGGAGTAGCGATTTGGGCAGGCCCTCAAACATCAAAATGAATAAAGAGGAATGGAACCATACTTTTATGTGTACTTAATGGGAACGAAATACGATGGCTTTTAGCTAATTCATACGTATCACATTGAAAACTGGAAACATCAAAATTGGAAAATAATGATGGAAACAACTTCTTCATATAACCGAACGAGGCCTAATTAAACTTCTTCAGATAACCGCATCTCCTTAATATCTTCCACCAAGTTCCCTTCTACTTCAAAACACTCTTTGTCAGAATTGATCCTATCTACTGCCCCTTGCACATCTATTTCAAACACAACGTAGGAGTGAAACTAGGATTGATTGATATGATACAATGCTAGAATATGAATATGGTTTGAATACTTTAAGTTAATTGTATTCTTCTCCATAAAGAGGTATATATAAGAGTTTACAATAGTACTTTACAAGAAAATAGATACAATAATTAATTAGGAGAATATATCCTAATTATATAAGGATGTGTCAACTATATAAAACAAGGAAGTAAATCACCTAATTAGCTTAGGAAATAAATCTTTTTGATTTAGTAGATTAACTCACGTCAACAGTTTGGGCCTTTGTAAAAAATCTTTGGCATAAAAAACCTCCCAAAAGGAGGAAAATCCGCCAAAGGAAAAGAAAGGCCTCCCACTTGACATCGAATACAGAAATCAACCAATAGATTTTAAATCTGCAGCAAGCAAAGAACTCAACCAAGGAGGCTTCTCCTCAATCCATGTTTGTGTTCCTAATGGCATATTGGGCTAGCTCAGGAGCAACTACATTACCATCCCATCACTGCCATTCACATGAGAAAGATCAAAACCACAACCGCATCTCCTTAATATCTTCCACCAAGTTCCCTTCTGCTTCAAAACACTCTTTGTCAGAATTGATTATATCTACTGCCCCTTGCACATCTATTTCAAACACAATGTAGGAGTGAAACTATTTGTTTACTTGGTTTGGTGTGGACCGTGGGCAGAAAAACAAACATCATAGTGTCTTTCCTTCTCTCTATTTGCTTCGGCTAATTATAGGCGTGAGTCTACTATGTGTTGATATGTCATTAAAGAAATAATGAGCATTATAATTAGGTTAATTGTTGTTTGATGAGTATGATTTAGTCTACATATTACATGAATTTCCTCCACAACAATTACATGAATTTCTTGCACTATAATTAACGTGATGGTATTGCTCATCGCAAAAATACGAAAAGAAAGGTACCTCCCACCATTTCTGAGAGCACCATCAACACTCATTTGATATAAAATGTGTGTAAGCATAAAAACTTAAACATTAATAAGTAGCTTGATTAATGTTTAAGTTTTTGGTGCATAGAATAATCAATTATATATATCATAGAGAATTCAGGGGATCTAATAAACAAGCTGAATTAATATTCAACCGGGACCTCAGCAGCTGAGCTTACTTGAAACGAAAGCAGAGGATGAATAGGAGGAAGGAAACCATGGGATGTGTTGGGCTATAGCTTTTGTTGGAGAAAGAAACCATTCAAGACAATGGATTTTACCCAATTCGGGCAACTCAATTATGTTTCACTACTAAATACTCAAATTTATAGGATCATAAATCCTTCAGTTAAAACGAAGTAAATAATGGATTAATAAGAAAGGGCAAAAAGAAAAACTCGAAAAGAATGATCAAGGCATCAATTGCTCAGAAATATGTGTGCTTTTGCTTTATATGGTAATTGTCATAACATACCATAATTTACATCAACTTGCCCCAAGCAAGCAAGCAGACATGAATGAATTGTCTGCCATTTACAACGATTGCCTTTGCCAGTAGTATGTAACCCAACAAGTTTATATATCCTGATCATTTGATATATATAAATATATATATATATATATATATATATATATATATAAAACTCAAGGAGCCATTTCATGGGTTGTGTCATCTTGTTTCATCCTTGTGTTCATGCTCAAGCTCCATTTCAGCAACCGCTTGCACAAAAATCTGATCTTTTTGCTCTCTGTCTCTGTGCTGATTGAATTAGTTGGGACCCCAGCAGCTCAAGTACATGACTGTCCTCAAAGACTCCTCTGATTTCTTCAGCTTCTCATCTCTGACTTTACTGAAAGCAGCTGAAGCAGAAGAAGATGAGAGCTTGTTGTTGGCCTGAGAAAATGACCTGAGTTGGGTTTTGGCTTGCTGGTGCACAGATCTTAAAGCAGAGTTCCATCTGCATATCCCTTGGTCCTTCAATGCCTCCACAACTCCAACACTTGCTGCCACAATAGCCTTGCTTGCACTTGATGTACTCATCACGATTATGATTTCTTTTCTCTTCTTTACTGACCTCTCTTTGATGCTTTCAACTTCTCAGTTGTGAATGTGAATGTGAATGTTTGAGTGTATTGATGAAGAAGATGAACTTGAGGTGCTCTTTAAATAGGGGATTTTGTTTTTTTTAAAAGGTGGGCTTGTGGCCAAAAACCAGAGCTGGTTTTGTTTTCTTCTGTTTCTTTTGGTAAGGTATGTGGATGGTTACGCTATATTTGGAGATGTTACTGTTTTGTACATGCAGATGCAGGGGATATGATGTAATAGACAGGGGTAAAAATGGAATTTAAGATTTTGGAGTTTGGATAAGCACAGAGTTTTGTTGCCTCACGGGCACATGGTTTTGATTTAAATTATTGTATTTAGGCCCGCAGTATGAGAGTGAAACCATTTGTTTGCTTGTTTGATTTGGAGTGTGGACCAAAAGACAAAAACAGTCTCTTGTCACTTCATTTCGGACTGTGGGCTAGTAGTAGCAATCTGGGAGTGAAACCAGTAGTTTACTTGTTTACGTGAAAATTGCAAATGTAGTTGTGAAAATGTGAAGATGAAAATGTCTTATATTGGATAGTTGAGAAGTCTAACAAAGACTTATAAGGAGTTGAATTATTTTCTTCAAATTAATTTTGGGGTGGAACATCAGCTTCCTTGGAACTCACATGATTCTCACACGTGGATGCATGGATGAGTGTCCCTAACATCTGCTGCCCTCCAAAAACTAGAATGTTTGCTCTAAATTTCCATCACATAAGTGATCATGTTGGAGTTCACATGATTGTCACACGTGGATGTATGTCGATTGAGTATCAATTGGTATTTGATGAAGAAGAAACATAACATACTAAATTAATGAGGATTCTCTTTCTTTCTTTTAAATGAAATATCACTAAATTAAGAGTTAGTTGGTTAGTATGTGATAAAAGTGTCATATTTAGTTGATGAATTAGATGGCTAATAAGATGCAATATTGACATGTCTGGTGTGTGTTTGTTTTATATTTGAAAAACGTAATGCTCTAAGATTTTCTTCTTGTTGGGTTGGGAAAATATACATTCAAATCATGTATATACAAGCTTAAACTCAGTTTCAAAAATAAAATGTAAGTGGTACATCCTCAACTACCTATAATATTGGAGGGATTTCAATAAGGACCCGAACAGCTCAAGTACATGACTTTTCTTAGAGAATCCTCAGCTTGGTTCTTCTGTTCAGAATTCATTTTGTTCAAAACCATAGCAGAAGAAGAAGAAGAGAGTTCCTTGGCTTGTAAGAATGATCTCATATTGTTCTTGGCATGCTGGATCAAAGACCTCATGGTGTAACTCCATCTGCAGAAGCCTTGATCTTTCAAAGCCTCGACAGCTCCAACACTAACCGCTGCGATCCAAGCTCCTCTTGTTGCACACATCTTCAGTTAATCCAGCAGAGCACTCTGCTTTTTTATGTTTCCGGGGTGTTTTTTTGTTTTTGTTTTTTGGTTTCTTTTGTATGGAGGACTATGCTTTGGACCCTAACACTGAATGTATATATATACACACACATAAAGCAAAAGACAAAGACAAAGTGGTTTTGAGATTTGTGGAAATCCGGAAGCTGCATTTGTCCCTTGTAGATGATTAGTATTCTATATAAGACAAATTCTGCAGTGGTTTTCTGTGAGAAAACCTGAGGTTTTGCATCTTGTTTTTTGATGAAGCAACGGAAAATCTGAGCTATTTGTCTCCTTTTGTACATGCTTTTCACCCATTCATCCCTTCTCTGCTGCTCTGTCTTTATTAATTTGCTTCCCTTCAAAACTGAAGGATGATGAAGGTGTATTTTTGTCTCCTGATACGTACGATCCATTTCGTTCTACTAGCTACATTCGTGTTTCATCTTATCAAATTTGTGTCATGCTCGTACCAACTTGTTTTTGTTCTACACGTTTTTGAATATGGATTTTTTGTGCAACTTTTGGAAGGGATATTTTGATCATTCATCTATTTCTTTTTCCAAATATTGCTCATTTTCAATTTTCAAATGATTGGTTTAGTTAGTGGCGGAGGTGGAGTTTGATATTTGGGGGGGCCACAAACTTAAAACTATGGGATTTTTTGTGCAATCCATACTATACTCTTTATACATTCAAAGAGGTGAGAAGATGGTAGGGGGCCCATGCCATCTCAGGCTTATGAATAGCTCCGCCCCTGGCTTTAGTTCTATACGAGAGGCTACGCAAGTTGAGGTGATGAATCACTCTTTTTTGCTGTTAAAATCAATCATCATCGTCCCCCTACATAATTTAGCATGAAAATGAATTAATTAAACCCTGAATTACCACTTGATGATTCCATAATTTTGACAAAACTCATCCATCTTCACTACTTTTGAAATCTAAAGGCTAGTAGCCATTACTCCAATCAAGAGACACATATTTAGCCCAAAACCCGTTTAACGTTAACCCAAAAGTCACGAAATAAGTTAACAAAAATACTCCAACATGTGCGCAGTGGCGGATCCACCATGGGGTCAATGGGGTCAGACGACCCCATGGCAGCCCTGGAAATGGCTTGGAGGTTCTTGGTTTCTCTGGGCAGCCATGGGAGACGATCCCATGGAGAAGAAGATGCAAGCTGCTAGGGAGAAGAAATAGGGAGGAAGAAGAAAGAGAGAGAGAGAGGGGGAGGAAGAAGAAGATAGTGGTTGAGAGGGAGAAGAAGACTATGGGAGAAGAAAAGAGAGGAGGGGGAGGAAGAAGGAGAAGATGAGCCGACATAATTTTTTTTTTTTAAACGAAGATATTTGTTAGGTTTTTTTTAATATTATTTTAATTTTGTTGAGTAGACCTATAAATATTATAAGTATACATCAATAGCAAAACGATATCACTTACCATTAGGGGTGGGCACAGTACGGTATGGTATGGTATTGAGCCCGTACCGCTACCGATACCGAAAATTTAAATCAATATGGTGCGGTATGAGATTATGGTTTGCCAAAATTGGTACCGTACCGTACCGTGCCAAATCGGAATCGGTACGGTATCGGTACCATTTCAGTACCAAAATGATACAACTAAAGAATGAATCAATTCGATATTCAACACCAAAATAAGTGATGCCTAAGTTACAAATTCAAAGATTCAACATATTCAATATCCAAATCCTAATCAACATATTCAATATCCATCAACATATTCAATATCCAAATCAACCAAATCAATATTTATCCATCAACAGATTCATCAAATCCAAATGGTTAAAACTCATGCCTTATGACTTACAAACCAAAATAGTTAAAATTATGCCTTATGACTTACAAAAATACAAACACAATCCAAACATAAATGACAAAAACATAAAGTTATACTATTCGGTACGGTACGGTATTGACCGGTACCAAAATCTTGATACCGCTACCATACCATATTCTATTGATACGGTACGGTATGGTACAGAATATCTCATCATACCAAATAAAACGGTATGAAATCGGTATGGTACGGTGCGGTTAGGGTACGGTTTCGGTATTTCGGTTTAAGATGTCCAACCCTACTTACCATAGTGGTTTTTGAAATGAAACGGATCTTAAGGTTGATGGTTCAACACTCAGTGTTTGTTTTTTTGTTTTTTTTAATATTCAAGATTATGACCCCATAAGGGAACAATCCTGGATCCACCACTGCATGTGCGTATATATAAATATGCTGGAGAGGAATTGGATCATTAAGTTGGCACACATGGACATGTTGGGATGCTGCAATTTGAAAGGACCCACTTAAAGACACATAGTACAATGTGCCATAAGTTTTCTGAAGATTTCTACATGTTACGTTATGCAAGATCATTTATCGGTTGAGAAATCAAACTGAATATATAAAGTAGGGGTGGTTGCGATTCGGTAACCGCGAATTTTTACTCAAACCGCAAACCGACCGACTATTTGCGGTTTGGTGATTTTTGAAACCGCAAACCGACCGCGTTTTGTGGTAAACCGCAAAATGCGGTCGGTTACCGCGAATTAGCGGTTTAAAACCGGTAAACCGCAAAACGCCGTCGGTTACCGCGAATTAGCGGTTTAAAACCGCAAGTTCTCAAGTATTCACAAAAATATAAATTCACAACCTAAATAAATAAATACACAACCTTAATTTCTCAAGCATATATAAATTCACAATCTCCTCAACTTCTCAAGCATTCACAACCTAAGAAAATTAAAGTTACAATTCCAAGCATCCAATTAAAGTTAAACTTCTCAAGCATTCAAATTCCAAATTCCAAACCAAGGTGTAACACCCCGACTCCGATTATTTTCCTATTTTAATTTAATTAAGAGAAAATATTAATTTACTCTTGGGTTAAGGGTAATTTTGGTCAATTTCTTATCCGGGAAGATTTTGGGACCACGAGTGGTTTGGTTGCGTAGGTGGTACTGAAACGAAACCGTAGACAGGCAGTAAGCTTGAATCGGAGATTTAACGAAGTTTTGGCGATCAAAATATGTTCGGTGGCGGAACCGTAAATATTTTGAAGGGTTTAGTAAAAAATCAGATTTTTCCAATTTTCACCTCACTCTCTCTCTCTCTCTCTCCCGCGTTTTCTTCTTCTCCTCCCTTGCGATTTTCCCCCTCCCCTGTTACTGTTCACAGAACAGAAACCACCACACTGCCACCACCTCCGACCACCCCGTCCGACGAGACCGCATCCGT